TCCTTTATAGATTATTTTCTTTCCTATGAAATCTTTGCAAAACCTAAGGTCATTAATGCATACTGATTTACTTTTTTCTCCAGTTGTTTTTGCTTGCTTTATGCACTTAGGTTTTTAATCTGTTGAGAATTTCCTTTCCACCTGAAGGAAATGGGGCCTTAGTGTTTTCCGCTGTGACCAGTCATTGCCTGGCTCACATACTTTTTTTTCTTTATCTGCTACATACAATTTGTTGCTCAGTACAACTTCTGTGGTTGCTGCGCCTTAGTGGCTTAGCTATTGTCTTTCCCAGGATTCATAACATGTTTGATTAATATGGTCTAAAATTAAGTTACTTACCATTATTCTTTAAATATGCCTCAGCTCTTTTTAATTATTTAACTTTACATAATAACTTTAAATTAGCTAGGGAAAGTTAGAATTAGCTCAGATACTCTCATATTTGACCCAAATAATTCCAGGAACAGTTAAAGTCACAAGCAGCTAAGTACTCTACTTATTCTGCAAATCTAGAGCTCTAAAACACCAGTACCATCTGGAATTACTTGGCAGCCACAACGACAACAACAACAACAGCAGCAACAACAACAAAACAGTGACAGTCCTCAAGACAGTAGTGAGAAACTCTTGATTTCTACAGGCTTGTGAAAGCATCCTTGAACACAACATATTGACTGTGTATTGGTGATTTGGCCCAGGATTCCATAATGTTCCATGTTTTATGAAGTGACTCTTGGTAACTGAACTCCTTCAGGCCTAGGCACAACGATGATGTTCATTTTAATCTTCATCCACATATATATATATATATATATATATATATATATATATATATATATATGCTGTCTCCCTGCTGGGAGGACATTTCTAATTAATTACATGCTTTACATAGAAAAGAATACAGCTTTTACTCAAAGCAATGGAGTATCATATTGTTTTAATTCTTTTATTAAATCAAAGCATTACATTGTGTATAATACTAATTTTACATTTTGCTTTATTTGCATTTCTTCACCACGTAAGTTGGCATTGATTCTCTCATTTGGAAACTGTAATTTCCATAAATCAAGTCATCTACCTGCCCTAGGATGTTCAGATTGGCATGTTCTAGGCATTTTCTTCTTGAAATCTGTTCAAAGCAATAATATTTCTCTGAAAAATCTAACCCTGATTTGCATTAGCTAAGATTTAAAGCTTCAGATATGGCAATAAGTTAGACGACAGCTTTGTTGGCTAACATTGCTTTGTATTTTTCTTTGCAAATGAAAGGTGTTGTGCCTGCATATTAGTTTCTTGCTGGACAGGTAGACTGGATTACCCATGGGTTGTGTATACAAACTCTGTGAGATAAGTCTGCGGTGCACATACTTTTCTAAAGAAGCCATCTCCCTCCTTCCCCAGACTAAAAATATCAATAGAGTATGTGTGTTTAGTCACATCTCACATTGTTTTAGAAACACTTCCTAATGTATAAAATGACTTATAAGAAAGTCACAAGAAATAAAAAAGGCAAAGAAGAAAAGAACAAATGAAATACACCCAAGAATATGGCTTCTATTAAATTATGTCATGAGGTCTTCACTCCTACAAGGAGGTCACCCAGGTTTCACATCAAATACCATCTACATCTAGTGAGTATTGCCTTAGGTTTTCCTACAGAGGAAGGACTGGAGAGAGTGTGACCTTTGCGTGACCTTTGCTGCTATTCATCACTCTACTTCACTCTCTGCAAAGGTTATTTCAATTTATAACTCAGTCACTGTTGTATGAAAATGTCTACTGCTCCACATATTACCTATTTTTGTTATTCTGTAAGTATATTAATATATTATTTAACATCCTTCTTATATTATTACACTAGTCATTATTAACTGGTTAAATAGTATATAATTTGTTTTCACTTATATGACTATTAAAGCAGTAAAAATGATCATAGAATTTTATTTGATATTTTATGAATTTTCTGCAACTAAAATACCTGTCATTCTCTTGGTGAATATCTTTTAAATAGTAATGATTTTATATAATAGCTAAGGACAATAGCCTATTTTCTGTCCCATATTTTAATATACATTAAATGCTTTCTCTTACATCATGTGTTATAATTAATTTCTATTGTTAAGCATCAAGGGAGAGGAAATTATATGATAATGATATTTTGAACCAGGGCATCTTCGGGGTCATTAGTATAATATACTGCCATGAGGGTGGGGCCCTTTTAACTACTGGCTTCATAAGAAGTGGGAAAGATATCAGAAGACTTTTGTGTGTATTTTTTCTCTTGCTTTTGTTTGGTGATTTCTACTACTACCTTAAACTTCTGAGAGCAAGAAGACTATTCCTATATACAGCCCCTATCTTTTTGGATCAGAAACATGAGTCAAAATAAACTTCTCTTTTTATAGTATGGCAAGCCTAAGATATTTTACTACAGTAACACAAAGTGTAATAATACTGAAAATTCAAATCTAGTTTTCTATTTTATTATGTGTGATTTTTAAAAAATGTGTTAGTTTACTAATATTTTAATTAGTATATTATTAATAAAGGAGAATAGAAAGGTCAAAAGACAATTCTAAATTTAGTATTTCAATGACTACTTAATGACTTCTCTTGGTACAATTATCTGAACATTTGGAATCATGATAGTATAAGATTCCCAGTTTGTGTCAAATTAATTCGACACGTATGCACACCAAGATTGATACTTCAATATTTGTATATAAAATTATGTAACAACACAAGTTTACTAAAATAAAATATGTATAAATATTTATGTAATCTTTATTTGAATATAACACACAAAATTTTGTAATAATGACAGAAATAACACACAAAGCTATTATTGAACCAAATCAAAAGTAATGTAATATAATACAGCCTTTTAAATTGAAGCCTTATCCCTTACTATGCTCTAGGGTATTTGGAGTTTCCCCTCCTTTCCTGCTCTAAAGTACAACTGTGATGCCTCTACTGTCTCTCCTAATAGAAAAATATTGCACGACATTAAAGTTCTATTTTATAAGCATCAGTAACAGCACTGTTGAGCGTTCCATGACTGTGGTTCTAGAGAGATAAATACTTTGAAGCATGAGTAGATTCTTAGAACTAAAGCTTTGCATTATTTCTATAGCTCTTTTAAATAAGTCAGTGCAGAAACATGCTTGGGCATCACTAAAACTTCCATGATTTGATCCATATACATAGCAGCCACTTACAGACGCATCACCTTCAGCTGTGAAAATGAAAGATGTTACTTACATGAGGAAAGCGTTGTTGCGTGTAGAAGGTTATTCCAGCTTTAAATTCAATAGCTATCTCTCTTGTTATTAAGTGAAACAGTAGGACACAAACTTTTCTTTGCCAGATTTATAGAAAAGACTGTATCTGTGTAATCCCCACTCCACCCTGCTTTTTTTTTACTGTTTATTTAAACATGCTTACAATTTAAAAAGAACAGCACAATAGAAGACTTTCCATAACAAATCCCAGAAGCTAAAATGTTGCTCCACATCTTATGCTTGAAGCAGTCTTCCTGATGTATAACCACATTTCATCTTGTAAACAATAACTTGCCGTTGGTACCTGAAGGTGGGCTGGTATCTTAAAGACTATTGGCTAATGGATTGGGGTTATTGGTTGAAGATTTGGAAGGAGTTCCCACAGCACTGTGTCTTAAAGGCTATTGGTTGAAATAGTGGAAGGAGCTCCCACAGCAGGCAAGATCGCAAGCTGAGTCTGGTCCAGGATCACTCTGTTCATGATTTAAGCCCTATTCAAAGAATTAAAGAAGATATGACTGTGGCAATTCTCCCCTGTAGGCCGAGCTCCAAGTTCAATAAGAGACCTTGTCTCCAAATACAATGGAAAGCAAGAGAGGATACTGAATTTCACAGCATACTCTAGTCCGCCACCCACATGCATATACCAAACACAGACACACATGGAATCACCACATTAAACGCTGAAGAACAAATAGCCAACTGGGAAAGTACACAACGTAGCATAACTTCTTCTTATATAAAGGTTTCTTAAAGATTTGTGTTGGAAAGAACATAAACACGGGAAAAGATATTGCGGGGAAACAAAAATGCAAATGGTGCTGAAATAAATGAAAACCCATTGATTTCACTCAGGACATTACAGTAATCAATTAAACTGAGAGTACCCACTTCATCTATTATACTAAAACTGCTGCAGTATGGAGATGATTTGCATGAACCTGAGCAAAGATTATTGGAAATTCATCAAGTGTTTTATTCTAAAACAACACCAGCTAAAATCGAGATTGTGTGTTCCCGCATCAACTTGGCAGAAATCTGAGAGCTTTAATACACATTTGTTAATTCCTTGGAAAGAAGATACTTCATTCATTTGCTGCTAAAACTGTAAACTGCTACATCTACTGGGGGTAACAGTTCTAAATTTTCTATCAAAACTTGTAAAGCATATAAACTTGGAGAAATCAATTTTGTCTCGAGGAATGCACACACAACTATTTGTATATTTGTTCACCTAAAAATGTTATGTGTATAAGGTTATTCATTGTGATACTGATCATAGTAACAAGTTTAGAAACAAATTTAATTATCCTTGAATTTCTGTGTTGTATTTACTTAGTTAAATATCATACATTATGTGCTGATCTGGGAAGATCTTCAAGACAAAATTTTAACTAAAAAGACCCACAGATGCAAAGAAATATGCACAGTACCATTGGTGCAAAATGTGGGAAGTAATTAATTTGCATTTATTGCCATTTACTTAGAAATTTCTCTAGTGATTCAAAGTAAAACTGTCACCTTTTATAAGGGCTGTGAAAAAAAATGGGAGAAATAGGCAAGACACAGTAGCAGACAGGCAAAATCAAGGTTGAAATCGAATGTAAACATATTGCTTTGCTCTGCAGTTTTTCTTTTTTCTTTTTTTTTTGTGTTCAGGTTTCATGTTTTAATTAGTTCCATAAAGGACATCCTAAACACGTCAGACACAACAGTATATCTTTTCTTCCAGTATTAAAAAAATGACATTCACAAACATTTTAAAGAAGCTCTTCTATATAATCAGGACAGTGATCTTGAATAATAAACATCTCTAGGTAGTCATGATCTTGATTCAGATTGCTCATAGGTACATTCGGAAGTCACTTTCTGGCCATGATAAACATTGTGTACAACTATTTTAAAAATGTCCCTAAATACATATTAATTTAAAAAACATTATCTTGACCACCTTTCTGGCCAGAAATAAACAAAACGTTTTTGGCATGAGCCTAAACAAAGTTTGATGAAAAGGAAAAATACTGGTACCATAACCAATGTCTTAAAATTTGTCTTTAAAAGGAAAAAAAATGTTTAAACACATGGAGCTTTCTGAAAGGTCTTTATCAAACTACGTTGGGAGCTCAATTCAAAAATAGAACTTGATGTACTAAAACAGATGTTTCATCGCAGCTCCAAAAATCTTTATAAATACAGCAATTTGGAAGGACGATCCTGGATCAGAAGTGCTATTCCTTGTGTATATTATGTGTCACGCCCCATCTCAGTTGTCATAATTGTCTCTGTAATTTCCTCCTGAATAGTGGTCATAACCACCCTGGCTGCCACTGTAGTCTCTAGACCGGCCATACCCGTACCCATATCCTCCAGGTCTATTGTTGTATCTTCCACTTCCATAGCCCTGGTCTCCACCACCTCTAGAGTAGCTGCGACCGCGCCCATGGGCCCCAAAGGCACCCCCTCTGGTTCCCTGGGCAGACTTGCCTGCATGGTCCACACGGATCTGGTGCCCATCCAGAGACTCTCCATTCATGGCTCTCATGGCGTCTGAGGCATGCTCCGGGTTGGTGAAGGTGATGAAGCCAAAACCCCGGGATCTTTGAGTCTCCCGGTCCTTGACAACAACCACCTCAGAGATAGGCCCAAAGCTGCTGAAGTGGTCTTCAAGTGCCTGCTCATCGGTGTTGAAGTTGAGCCCTCCCACGAAGACATGGCAGAATGAAAATCCTGGAAAATTAAAAGCCAAAGGCAAAATCAAGGCTGAAATCGAATGTGAACATATTGCTTTGCTCTGGAGTTCTTCTAAGGAAACAAACTGTAGCATTCACAGCAAAATGGACAGCTCTGAGAGATGGTAGACAGGTTAATCAGATTCACTGTAGCAGTCAGTTTTTAAATAACATTCATAATGTTATATCATAAGCCACACAATTACACAATAAGATGCGCTTTTTAGTCACTGTTCTATTGTTGTGAAGAGACACAACGACCATGGCAACTCTTATAAAAGAAAGCATTTAACTCAAGTTTGCTTGCACTTCAGAGGTTCAGTCCATCATCATCATCATGGCAGAAAGCATGGCAGTAGGCAATCAGACTTGCTGCTGGAAAAGTAGCTGAGAGAGCTACATCTGGATTCATAGATAATAGGAAAAGAGAGAGACTCTGATTAGAGTGGGCTCTTTGGAACCTCAAAGCCCACCTACTTCTACTACAGAGACCTACTCCACCAAGGCCACACTTCCTAATCCTTTTAGATAATGCCATTCCCTGTTAACTCTATGATTCTATGCCATTCCCTGTTAATCTATGATTCTATCAGAGTCATTCTGACTCAAACCACCACAAACATCTTACAAAAATCTCTCTAGAAAGATATACAAGATTCTAACAGAGTAATACCTGCTTCCATGTATGGGGGACCAGACACTTGAAAAATGGGTGGAAGGAGATTGCACAATGTGTATAAGGGGTTTAAAACATCCCTCTGTTTTCTGTAGCATGAATAATAAAAACCTGGAGTCAGATTGAGGTTTAACCAGAACACCATAAAAGCCAAGCAACCAAGTCACTAGAGAAGTCTTACCTCTACTAAGGTTGGGTGACCATAAACTAAGCAGGCTAAACCTTTCTTTCATCTTATTTTATATTCCTTCTAGTGCTGGTATTAAAGGTATATGATTCCCTAGTACTGGGATTAAAGGTGTACGCCATCACCACCTTAATTTGTTTCTGCATTGATCTTGTGTAGCCCAGGGTGGCCTTGAACTCACAGAGATCCTACTTTGTCTCCCAAATCCTGGGATTAAAGGTGTGTTTCACTTGACCTCTTGTGGCTTTAGTTTTGCCCCTAGTCTCCAGGCCAAATTTATTTATTAAAATACAAATAATATAAAACTACAGTTTTCCTAGTAGGTGACCTTGTAGAAGACCCTTTAACTGCAACCATGCTTCATGGTTAGCTCTGCTATCAGTGGTCAGATAGTCTACAACATCCAATAATTCATGCATTAGATACTTGGAAGTATAGAAACAGATAATGCAAACCTACACAGGATATAGAAAATACTTTAGGTCTGAGAGAAAACAGAAACGAGTTCCAGCTGGTAATCAGGAAAGAGATCAACAAAGCGTCCACATTTGAGTAGAGGTAAGATGTCCAAGGACATATCAGTACAAAGACCTTTTGGGTAGAGACCAGAGTAAAGACAGTAACCAAAGAAAATAAAGAGAAGGAAGAACAGATTGCTATCAATGGTTTAAAAAAAAAACAGTGTTAGAAAAGTGACACCCCTGGGCTTAGATTACAGGGCGCTGAATCAAAGGCTGAATCAAACTAAAAATGGTTTTTAGTTCATGAAAATAGGAATGTATTGGAAGATTATAGGCACCAAAATAATAACTTAGAAATAATCCCTTTAGTTAGAATTCTAACATCAGTATTTTCAGGTAGGCACTATACAACTCTTTAGTATCTGCCTGAGAAATTTCAGTTATCACACCACACAGATACTTGTGTGTACATATTTACTGCTTTCTTATGAACAATATTCAAGAAATGAAGTCAGACAACATGCCTATAAATATATGGATAGTATATAATGATATTTTGTTTATGAACTAACAAATAAAGCGTGTTTGAAGATAAGAGTGCAAAGCTAGCCACACCAGTTAGCCATTCAGGCCAGGCAGTGGTGGCACACACCTTTAATCTCCAAAAAACACTATTAAGCCATAAAGGCCAGGTGATGTTGATGCTTGCCTTTAATACCAGCACCAGAGAGGAATATAAGGTGGGATGAGACAGGAATAAGCACTCTTTTTAGTCTGAAGATTTTGTAGAGGTAAGAGTTCTCTAGAGGCGGACTGCTTTGCTCTCTTATCTTTCATCTTGAATCCCAATATCTGTCGCTGGGTTTTTGTTATTTGTGCCAAATTTGGCATTCACATTTGGGGTATAAATTTACAAAAAAGTCATTTGTCTGCCGCATAGACCAGACATACATAGACCAGAGCTACACGCAGCTGGAGTCACTGACTCACTGGCTAGGTTTTCCATTCTTCTCTCTTGATGGACTTTTTCAGAACCCTCTTCTCAGGCTGCTGCCAAAATAGGTAACTGCCTTGAAGTCCAGTCAGGCTTTTACTGTTCTACACAGCAGGAATAGCCTCACATCATCATCATCACCGGGACGGATTTGGTAAGAAAGTTGGATTTCTTAAAGGAGGAATTAGTTAAAAGGGATAGTTGTTTTTTTTCTCACGTTGAAAAGTGGAAGACACAATTATAATAAAGTTAGGTCTCTGTATGATTATGAAATGCATGATTTAAAAATGGAACAATTAAATGGACTAATCAACTTAACAGGGATTGACAAAATGTTTATTATCATTTTTATAATCCTTGTCATCATTTTGATAATTCTTAGTTTATCTCTTAAAAAGCTGTTTGACTTGACTGTCAAGAGGAAAACTTAGTAAAATAGATCATAGATATTCAGTAAAATATCAATAGATATTCAGATCCAGACAGAAGATTTATGGATTTTTAATGGAGAACCAATTTCAGCATTGCATTATAAGGTTAGAGAAGAACAGCCTAAGGTTTTCAAACAACCAACCTTAATGTATCCAGTAATAACCTTAAAGGAACAATTGCCAAATGATAGATATCCCCTAGGCTATGCAAGAGTTAAATGGACTCCTGTGGAAATGTTGGATTTAAGGAGATTCAAAGAAATGGTAGGCTCATACGGCAAGCATTTACCTTTTGTGAAGCAAATGTTAAACGTGTAATAGAATTATCCATAAAGACTGGGTAGACTTGGTTAAAGCTGCTTTAGAGCCTGGTCCACAATTACAATGAAGCGCCTGGTTTAGAGAAGAATCTAAGACTATTGAACAATGTAGTAAAACGGAGGTATAGAAATCTCCCAAGATCAACTTCTTGGGGAAGGAGATTATGCTACTATAAAAAGGCAATCTTTATATGATAACCACACCCTGGCTTCATGCTGTGCATCAACTTTGAATGCTTGGTACAGAATTGAAGAAGCAGAACAGAAAATTGAATCCATTACTAAAGTTATACAGGGACCAAAGGAAGCCTTCATTGATTTCTTACAAAGACTGACTTCAGCAGTAAATAGAAAAATACCAAATTCAGAAGGTAGACACATAATAATTAAATCCCTGGCTTTTAAAAATGCTGGTTATCAATGAAAATGATAATTAGTCCTTTAAAGGCAAGGTCAACACCCTTGGAAGAATGAATCTGAGATACAATCTATATTGATTCTCATGACCATGAAGATGCTTGGATAGGTGATTTCCAAAAATTTGAGGAAAAATCAAAATGTCAAATGTTCTTATTGTGACAAACAGGGTCAACTTAAAAAAGATTGTAAATAGGGTGATCCGAAAGGAGGAAGAGGCCTCACAACGATGATTCCTACAGAAATATGATAATACCATTAAGCTGAAAACACCATCTCAAGATGGGCTTTGGGCTACAAACTTCTCAGAACATTTTCAAGGTGGCTAGCTGAGATGATCCAGCCTCACACTCTTATCCAGCCCTGACTTGAAACAAGCCCCGCACTTTTCTATTATACAGAGACTGAAAAACAAATGATAAAGTTACCTCTCCCAGGACTTCATAATTAAACTAAATTTTTTTTCAGGATCCACTAAAGATGTCTTTACCCCTAGACTACAGGAAGTAAGTTTAAGAATATGATGTCCATATTTCCAAGAGGTGGGGTAGGTGGTTTTTGGTTATTCAGTGGGTTATGGATATTTGTCATTGTTTAAGGAGGTTAGTTACATGTTGTTATTGATTACACTCAGGAGGAAAGTTGAACAAAGAATATTAGACTTAGAGGTTTTGTTCTGAAAAGAGGAAAGGGAGATATAGATATGGTAAGATAAAAAGGTAGGCTACTGAATTTCCTTTTCAAAGCAACTACTAGTTTTAAATATTTTACAATGGATTGGACTTTTGTATATTGCATACAAATTTTGTATATTGATACTAATTTAAGATTAATTTTGTTAAAATACACTGTATACACGTTTCTCATCTTGTTCAAGGTATTGCTCGTATATACCTCATTTAACAATGTAATGCAAATTTCTAGTTCTTGAAAGTTATTGTTACCAACTGTTTAGGATAATAAGGAAATGCAAGTTAGTAATTAGTCACTCAGTATAGTCAATAACAAGCCAGTAACATTAGGCATGTTTTCAAGGTCAAACAGGGATATATTTTAAATAGATAGGCCATCTTCAAATGCTTCAGAGATTTGTAAGATATGGTATTTAAGATGTTTTAATAACATAGGTTCTTTTTTTTTAAAAGGACAATGAGACATGTCAGCTCCTGGCAGCATGAATCTACTTCAGAGAAGATGATGGGCACTGAAGAAACTCCACATGTAGTTTCCTTTTTTTTGTGGCAAAATAAGTCACTGGGCAAGAAAATGTTTTGCCTCAACTTTTGACAGTATGTTATCCTAATTGGACAAGCAGGACACAAAAGAGCATGACTGCCAAACCTTACCAAGACAAGATGGGAGAGTCCTTTAAAAATCCTGTTTCATAGAAAAGTTTGTTGAATATTCTGGGCCTTTTGGATGAAGATGGATGCCCCAACATTGCAGAGGAACTTTGGATGACTATCCAGGCAGTCAGCTGTTCTGCCATTTCTCACATTTTTGGGAAGGTGCTTGCTTGTACTTTCTGTTTACTAAGTTAGTATTATTTCATTCTTGGGTCGTTGAGGTAGTTGAAGACTAAATAAGTTATAGTTACAATTTTCCTTTT